TTAAGACAAAATACTGTTCTAAAAATCTCGCCTTGTTTTATGCAAGTTAAACAGAGTACTGATTAATTACCTAATAAAATAGTCATGTGCTGAATTAATACAGAGGGCAGCTACCAATTTTACACACATCAAGACTGAATTCTTTTAGCTACCGTTAAAAAGCTGCTTGTTAAATTAGTTACAGGTTGATTTAAGTTGACCGAGCCAGTATGGTTCATCTGTCTACAAGAATAGTGCATCTTCAAACTGGTATTGAAGGAGTAGTTCCCTTTGTAAGCAATAGTTGCATCATTTGAGGTAAAAATAGGGTTGGTGTCTGAAAACTGAGGCCCAAAGCACTGGCCATAATAGCATCAAGACCTAAAGGATTCATCTTGGTTCTTCTAAAGCATTAGAGTCAATTAAGGCCACACACCTATCAGTGCTTTAAAGTTTTCAAACTGGGAATTGCAAAGGTGTGGTTTGTGCAGCTTTGACTCTTCTCCCTTTCCAGAAGCACTGTGATAACTAGTGGCTCTGCAAGTGCAGTCTCAGTTCTGCATCTCTGCTTTATTTGCCAAACAGTCTGTTGCATAAAAGATACGGATTAAATGATGGCTCCTTTAGAGCACTGTGGTGACTGAGCAAATTACAAAGCTGTTAGAAGAACTTGTGCAGTTGGGAAATCTGAGCTTGTAATTAGACTATATTTTAACAGGGAAGAGGTGGGCTCAAGAGAATTGAATCAATATAAAAGACATTTGGGGATCTGAGCATCCAGCTATCTCCCTGTACTCTGGTATGGCTGTGTGTGAATGGCCAATGTTGTCTGTCAGTCTCAGAATGAGCAACCTGTGCTAAGGGGGACCCTCTGAGGGCAGGTATCTTTGAGTTTGAAGGTATGAATCTAAACAGTGAAACCATTTTGTACTGTGAGGATCTCTTCTGATGCTGCTTTTTGCTGGAGGATTGTCCAGCAGCTTGTTTACTTTGTAGGAGTTCTGCCTCACTTTGTGTATTCAAGGCAAGTTGACCATGCCTGTGACTTGCTGATCTTTGCTTAGTCACTGGTCCTCTGCCTTGTCTTACAGCTTCTGGGAAGGCTTGCTGAGGGGCAGTCCTGCCAAAGCAAGTCTGGGCTCTTGGCCTGTGTGAAGGCTTTTACAAGCAGTTAGCAGATTCTGGTTTGAAAACTACTGCCTGGGTTAAAGCATGCTGCTAGAACAGATGTTGGTGTCACCTGAGGAGGAAATCCTCCTGCAGTAAGTCAGGGCTTGTAGCTGAGCCAGGACACCTGGGTGAGGCTTTGTAGCCTAATAACCTCTTCTGGTGTGGAATAGGAAGGCCCTGGAGTGCTGTGTGTGGGGAGGGTTCACAGCTTCAATGGAGTTGAACCAGTGTTCAGCAGAACTTTGCTGCTGTCTGTCCTCTGCCACCTGTGTTGGTGATGGAGCAGTGCAAATCCTTCAGAAAAAAAATCTCTGAGAAATGTACGATGCTTTAGTTTGGAAATTTTCAGCTTGAAAAAAGGAAGTGTGACTGTTAGCTCCTTAAGAACTACAACTTGTCAGTGTTAAGCTGACTGGCTAAGCATGCAGTGCTGGTTTTGCAGTTGTAGGGTTTATTATGTGCTGTTAACTGACTCTCTGTAAAAGAATGCTTCTGGGGCTGTGGGGAAATACAATCTCAGATGTTTCACCACTTACCCCACGAGGCTACCACAGGGCTGCAGTGGGGTTTGTGGATGTCTGTCTCTTTTTGCACAGCTCCCCAAATACTGCCAGCTGCAAGCTTCTGACAAAATGTGCATGGGAACCAGAACTTCTGCATAAAACTGCTTTCTATTTCAGCTCCCTTGGGAAGGGGTAGAGATGAAACACAGATGGAAGAACACTCTTGATTCATCTAACTATCCCCTGGCAGAGGGACTTGTTCATGTGTAGTCTGGTTTGGTTACCTCACTGGGGTCCTGGTGCTTCCCTGGGGAGGCTGTTTCACAAACTAACTAGCTTCATGACTAAGGATTTTCCACCAATCTTTTTTTTTCATGCCATTACCCCCTGCTGCTGCCTTTACAGTCATTCTGGTCTGTCTGCCTGCTGCCTTGCAGATAACTGCCCCTCAGATTCTAAGGGATTCAGAGATTAGTTTTCCTATATCTATTATTAAGCCTTTTATTTAAAACTTTGTGACATCTGTCTCATTTAGCTTACAGCCAGTAGGTTTTTCAATTACTGTTTGCTTTCTGGGGTTAAATCAAAGGTGGTAATTGGCAGCAGGGGTCCCTCCCTGTGGCCTTAGAGTACCAGCAGAGGTTGAATATTGGGGTTTTTTCCCTTCCCCAGGTTCAGACACAAAGCTGCAGGACCCAGATCTTTGGGGATCCACAGCTGTATGTTCAGGTGCTAAAGTTCCCTTTCCAGCTTAGGGGAGACAGAGTGGAGGAGCTGGAGATCTCTTCCTCATGGGAGGAGAGCTGTTACCCAAAAAATGAAATCCCAAGGAGGAGGTAACGTTACACCACTGGAGTAGCTGGTAGTTATGTTATGGTTGATTTTGGACAAGATCCTTTGTTCCTTTGTTTCCTGGGAGTGGGAGGGTCTTGCTCTTTCCTGTTGAGCCAATTGTACTTTAGATAAATTAACAGGGCTTCAGTTTAGGGGCTGCCTCATGTACTTTAATACCACCTGTTGCTGTTAAATGCTGTTATTTGTGGCATTTTTCTGGTGAACTGTGACAGTTAAAAATACATAAACCTGTGTACTAGGTGTACTTCAGCAGCAGCAGTGTTTGACAGTCCCCAGTCTTGGGCAGTACCAGCTCTACAGCATCTGCCTGCAGTTTGTGGAGTGCGTTTAGTGTGTTTGCCAGCTAATGCTTCCAGGGCCTCTGCTGGTAACAGGCCAGTTCCTGCCCTGCAGCTCACACCCAGAACCCTTTCCTCATGTACACTGAGCCCAGTCTTCCTCCGGAGGAATTCCTGACAGCCTAGCTGTTAACCAGGTGTGGCAGCACCTTTCCCCTCAACACAGAGCTGCTGTAACTGCTGTTTCCATAGGGGTGGTAGCCTGCCAAGGTTGGGAATGTCACCTCTGGTACAAAACAAAGAGCTCTTCAAAGCTAAAGGGATGCTGACAAGCTGGATTCTGCCCAGCAGAGGCATTGTCATGCAGCCACAAACCCAAGCTTTCAACCTAATTCATTTGTTTTACAATGATCTAAGCTGGGTACACAATCACCTGCTCCTCACTTGTGCTAATCTTGTCATAAACTCTTAATGAGGGCCTGGAGCTATTTAGATGGTGTAGGTATCACAGAATTCAAATAATCCACTTTAAAGTAGTGGAAATTCAGAATTAATTAAAACTATGAAAGGCAAGAAAATCCACCTCAGTCATTTGGACCCAGCTGATTTTACACAATTAGTTCAGAGCTGGGGCTCAAGCCACCTTGATCTTCTGTCAGCAGAGCACATCTGGGAGAAGCTCTGCTTTCTCTTAGGGGAGAACACCCCTAAGAAAATGGGGCACCTAGGCCTAACTGCAGGGCTGCTGCAGCTGAAACACAAGTGGCTGCTGAGCAGAAAGTGGGTTAGAAACTCCTGCCTGGCTCCAAGACACACAGGTCTCAGACTATGCCTCGTTCCTGGCAGCCCTGGGCTTGTGTCCATGTCTGGATGCCCACCTCTGGTTGCAGGAGGGGCCCTCGGCTGGGGGTTTGTGGCTGCAGGCAGAGGCTCCACCACCACATTTGCTTTTGAAGACTTGCTTCATCAAAGTCATACCTGCCAAGATGCAAATGTGCATCAGACACATGCTTAAAATCAATATGGGGTCTCAAAAAGTGTTCTTTTCAGTCTAGGGAAAGGAAAACAAAGGTACTTGCAGCAGGCAGTACTGTTCTGAAAGACAACAGGCACAAGGCAGCAATCTGAAGAACAGACCAGATACATTTGGCAGTCTTCATTTATTCAGCTTAAAGATATTTTTTTTTAAAATAATCAATAAATAAAACAGACATCACCAAGGAAACACTATATTGAGTGGAGTACCATCAGGAACATTAAATAGAACCCCCACCACAGCTTAAAGTAGCTCTCCACACCACAATAAAGGAACATTTTGTAAGGCCTAACTGTTCACAGACAAGACTGGCTGTTCTGTACAAACCTTCATTTATTTATAATGCCCTATTCATAGATGTAGGATTTGTCACTCTCGTCGCACAAAACACTACTGTTGAAACCAGAGCTTTGTACGTTACTTGCTTGCCATTGCTGGCAAAAGTGCTAAAATCGTTTACCCAATCTTATAGCAAGAGGGATGCTCCAAAGCAGCAACAATCCCTCAGGACCAGGATGGGAGATTTCTCTGCCAGTTTGCTATGCCATAGGCATAAGCCATTACCAGCAAAACAGCAGCCCACCTGACCCTCAGGAGTTCAAGTACAGCAAGTTGGCCGGGTGTGTTTGGTAAAGCTGAATGCACTGCTGCCAATCACATTCCCATTGAGTACAAGCCAGAGCCCCGCTCAAGATGGGGTGTATTCTGTCTGCCAGATATTCCAGTCTCCCAGTTACCTTTGCCCTGTCACAAACCATTGGGTTATTCTTTTTTCTCACAAAAAAAGTAATTATCCTGAAAACAAAGTTATCAGCTAAAGTGCAGGATCCCTGCAGCGAGAAGTACACATCCATTTTTAGACTCAGAACATCAAGCTTTAGCACAGCCCATGAGGATTCTCCCCTACCCGCACAAATAGTAAATTCAGTTTTGGAAAATAGTGCCTATAAAACTTTAGGTACGCTAACATCAACAGCACTTCAGTGAGCTTTCACAGAAAGAACAGAACAAATGCCCATTCTGTATCACTAATTCTGCATAAGAGAAGCATCATCCCTACCCAAGCTACGTCATCCTTCCGTGAAGTACAGACAGCAGAACAATCCCACGAGCTGTACTTTGGCTACCAAGAAAAGAAGCGCAAACCTTTAGAAAAATACAATGCAAGAAAAAATTTGAGATAAAAATATATACCTTTGGTTAAAAACCATCCCTTTAACAAGAGTCCTTTGTAACTCAGCTAGAACAAAAAAGCTTCACTTAGACTGAACAGTAGTAAAAATTAGTTCTAAGCGCTTATTTCCTAACCCAGAGGACCCTTCTAAAATGTCAGTAATTTTTTTTCCAGGATTTACACATTTCATGTTCATTATTTATAGGGATCATTAATATTTGCAGCAATACTATATAAATTTTCCACGAAGAGAATGTTTGTAGCACAAGCTCCTCCACCAACAGTCTTTAAAAAAAAAAAAAAAGACTAGAAGTTCTTAATTAAAGAACCGTTGAAACATGTAGTTTTCTTCAGATACTGAATAGCCAAACTTCTTATAGAAATCAACATTTTTTGGCAGACACTCAAGTGTAATTTTGTAACAGTTCAGTCTCTTACTTAGCAATGTCAGGGTGGACGTTAATCTGAAAAAGACAGAAAACCAACAGTTAAACAGCCCTGAACACTGGGTCAATTAACATTTAATTAGCTAAAGTTATAAGACCAACAATACTGAAGTTTTACAGAACTCTGCATTTTCCTTTACTATACGGGATAGTTGCTATCCCAAGGAAAAAAGAGAACAAAGTACCAGCGTCTCACAGACAATTGTATGTTACAAGAACCTCAGCTTGCACCCTGCCAGCTAGTGATACCTCCTGGCTAAATTCTTTTCACCTGTCTGGCTGGGGAGGCTCTGCCCTGCAGCTAACCTGGAGAGCTAAAATCCTGCACTCAGAGGTCTGGTGAGCGATCTTTGCCAGCTTGTTTGCTGGCACCCATCAGCACAGTAAGGTGGGGGGGCAGAAAGCAACTGAGTAAGGGCCTGCCACCCTGCCTGCTGTGGAATGGCCAAGGTGGTGAAATACTTACAGTTTACCAAGCTGCCTTCCTCTGCACTCCCCGCTTACGACAACATCTTCTATCCTTCCTCTCTGTGAAAATACAGGCAAATGTTAGTCAAACAGAACACTGCTGTGCGAATTTTCTGCTGTCTGTTTCGATACAACTCCTCCAGTGGTCAACATGCTCGGAATGCCCCTTCCAGCACCCAGCAGGAGCTGCAGTCCCACCACAGCCCTTCCCCGCTGAGGGATTTCTGTCTCTCTAGCTCCCTGTTTTCACACGTCTAGCTGGGACTCCACAGCAGTGAGATCCTCAGCCATCTGCTCTGTCAGAACCAAGTCTGACTAGTTCAAAAGCTCACTGGGAAGGAGAATGGGACAGACATCAAATTGCTCTTTTTCCTTAAGAAAAGCCAAAGTTTCCTTTTACTATTTAGCTGAGCAACCAAGGATGGGAGATATTTTTAAGATGCCTTTGTCACTGACTCAGCAGAAGGTACTTTGTCACACAGTAACACCATAAAAATAACATTCATGGAGTCAAGGGGACAGGATCTTTTCCCTCACAGCTGCAGCGGGAGAATATACCTTTGCACAGGAGTGAGTGAACTTGTGTTCTATCACCAGCGTTGCTGTAGCAACAATCTGTCCAAGATTTGTGTCTTCTACGACAGTAACGTAGTAATCTCCAGATCTCTTCATGTGCTCAAAGGTTTCTGTGGGAGCAGGCAGACAGCAGAACAGTCACCATGAATCTCAGATTAAATTGCTCTGAAGTCTAACACTTGCAACAGATTCTGAACGCAGATAACTGCAGGGTTCAGGATCACAAGGAAGATGCACCCAAGACCCCAGAACCTGAAAGCCCCAGAGTCAGCCTAACCAGACAGAACCAGGAAAAAGCAGAAATTAAATGCCTTTTCCTCAGCTGCCAAGAGAGCCCTCCTTCCCCAGAGTCTCTGCAGATGGGCACTATGATGATGGTGGCAGCACCTCTTAAGTTTTCTTAAATCTCAGTCAAACCAGTGAAGCAAGCTCGGGTTCGCTGTTAAGCTATGATCAAAGGCAATCCTCTGCCTCGCTACTGGTGCTGCATTAATTCAGCCAAAACAAGCCATCACCCAGTAGTCCCTTCTGCCAGGCGTCTAAAGCTCAGTCTCAAAAGCAGGTATACAATTTAGGCCCATCCCAGCCAAGAAACCCTTTGGGATAGTTGCAACTGGATCCAACACTGAGTGCCAAAGGCTGCCTCAGGGGACCTGAACTACTAAATCCCTCTGGCATCAGGCAGTTGGGAGCCTCACAGCCAAGTGGATTTGCTGTCAGCATCAGTATCCTCTGGTTCCCAGCAACCTCTATGGAAATGCCAAGAAATAATGATATACTTACTGATAAACTGCTCTGGGCTTGCAACTCCAGTTTCAGTCAGCTGACCCAGAACTTTAAAAAAGCCTGTTATAAAAAAAAGGGGGGGGGCAGGGGGGAACAACAACCCTCAGTGAGGGAGAGAGACACACAAAGAGCTCCAAATAGCACAGAACAACCTGACACAGCTCTTTGGAGAGTTAACATCCCCATGGCACCATGCAATTCAGTCATATGTAAAAGCCTGCACTCTGCAGTTGTAGAGCTAGACCGCAATCTTAAAATCAAACTCCCACCTTGAGCGCTGCTGAAGGATCAGCTAATGCATCAGCAGCAAACTGCAGCTTGAACTGAAGAAGTCTTCGTGCACTAAGAATAATATGCTGGTTCACATTACTTTTGTATTAAAAGGAACAGTATGAACAACTGTACTCCCTCTCTAAAGCTGTGGTGAGTAGGAAGCTGTGGATTATTTGGAAGATTTTACTTGAATTTTAAGACTGGTTTTGAGGTTATTAAAACAGTAAAACCAATTTTGAGGGTCACCCAACACAGCATGACCAATCCATGGTGCCAAGTGCTCAAATTCCTTACTGATAAAAATAACCCAAATCAGATAAAATGAGCAATCCTGATCTATTGAGAGATCATGCAGAAATACATATGATCTAGTTCAGCACCTAGCTTTCATTTGGGATGATCATTAAACAGGATTCTACCTCGATTTAAATCAGCTGTGCAAAGTGGTCTCAAAACTAGGCCATCTCCTGGTTCTAAAGGAGAAATAGCAGGAGAAAACGTCGTCGTGTTCTCGCTCCAGTCAAGTTCATGCAGAATATTTGGGTCAAACATCGGTGTGTCATCAGGCATCACAGTTGCAACAGGCATCATGGCTGCAACAGGTGTTCTGGAACAGAATGCACATGGGTAAGGAACATTTTGGTTTGTTCTTGCTTTAATCTCTAAATATGCCATTTCCCCTGGTTATATCATGCCACGTGATGTTTCTCAGGGACGCAAAGAAAGGTGAATGAAACCAGAACTGCTGTTCACTTTATCTGCAATTGAAGCTCCTCAGCCTTCACCGGACTAGGCCGCTGGGTTAAACACAAGAGCGCGTACCCCAACACCGCACACGTTATCTAAAGTCAACACACGTGGCACTTTTATGTTCACCTGGGCAGTTTTTTCTCTTGGAAAAAAACCAAACAGATAAGACATCAACTGGGATATTTAACCTCAATAGCCCTCTGAAAAGGAAAGCATCTCGCACTCTCAAGAAACCTCCCTAACATACTGTTTACTGCGTATAGAGGAAATCATTTGCATTAGTGTTCCATTTAAAACTGGCGGCAGGAATAGTACACTTTTTTCAAACAGTCCCATCACATAAATATTTAGTATCTCAGCCAAGAGGCACTCCATCACACATAGGAAAACACAGATGATATGACAGCCTGCACACACGCTTACAGCCTGTACTGCGTTTCTAATGCAGTTGTGTTTGCTCGGTATATTTACAAAACCTAATGCCATCTCAGCTGTAAAGCACAGCGGCTCATTGTCCATTAACAGGTAAAATGCAGAACTGCCAAGATGATGGTGAGACACCTGTTAATGATTAAAGAAAGATCTGGGAATTATCCCTAATTCTGAATAATACACAAGAGGAAGCAAAGGGATATATTTTCCTAATCGCTAGACACAGGAAAATAATTCTTACTTTGTCATCTGTGGAATACCTGGTCAGGCTTCTGGTATGAACAGAGCATATCGTGGGAACTTCTCCTAAGTTCTTTATACAATTTCAAATTAACTTAGTTGCACCATAAAAGCTATGGTAGTTGCACGCTGTTGGACAGGCCAAATAAACATCAGAAAGAAAAATGTATTTGGGATGAATACTTCTCAAAATAAGACATTTTACAGCCCTGTTAAGCTGCCCAGAGAAAGTACAGAGGATGTTAGCTGTGAAGCATCTCAGCATAACTGCAGCATTTGAGCCTCAAAACTGAAGGTGGCTCTGGAAACGCAACTGAAAAAGCTTCCTTCAAAAAAGAAAAAAAAGCAACCACAAAAATCTTTTTTTATGCCACCTGCTGGTATACACTGGCCTTTAAATCCCCATTCTCATCTCAATCTTGCATATAAAAGTAAAAAAATTGCTGTTACAGCAATTAAACAACAATACAAATTCTCATCCCACATGAATTTTCAAAATGAAACAGTGGGAAAAACAAAGTACAAAGAAAAACATTTCCATAGATGGAAGAGTCAGAGGTGAGAATCCAGGTCTTCTGAGTCCCAGTCCTGAGCTTTAGCGATCAGATCATGCCGTTATGTGCAGAGAACTGCAAGCCCATCGCCAGCGTATTAATTATGTCACTGCTAAGCAAAACCGAAGTCTCCCTGGTTCCAACAATACACTTGGTATCTCTGTTCCTAGATCTCAATTATTCTAACATTGCCGTTACCCTGTCCCGTTACAAAGCCTTCCTAGAATTCATGAGTGTTCATAACAACATTCAAATAGTGTACTGTACAGCATAAGATGAATTAATTTCAGCTCAGGCTTACAGAATACCAAGCACACACAACAATAGAAAAACACATGAAGGAAATAAAATTTTTGATGCTTTTCAAGCAGTTAGTGACAAACTAAGAGTGATTCTTCAAACTACATCCAGCACAGCTGGAACAGGAAGAAGTTTGAAGCTTCGCCCATTTTCCGGAGTTAGGAATATGACTTACTCGATAGAAATGCAGTGGCCAATTAAAAAAAGGATCAATGTACGGTGAGGGAGGAGAGCTCCGGCCTGTTTCAATGGGTTGCCGGTTTCCCCTCCAGGCCTGCTGACCTTACTCCACGACCAGGTGCTGGCCCTGGTACACACCTGAAGTCTCCCCCGGAGCATCCCAGGCTCCCCACCCGTGTCAGGAGTGGGACAGGGTCCTGCCAGTGCCCACGGGACACGTTCTACCCCCCTCACCCATCCCACCTCCCTCTGCTCCGCTCTCTTCTGGAAAACCGGTGCAGAGGGAGCACGGTATGCCGGGGGTGCCCCCTGAGACGAGCTGCCTGCCCAAGGGGACCCCCCGGGTGCTCGGTCAGAATTCTGCCGGCTCCCCAGTGTCGGGGGACAGGGCGACAAACCCCGGCCCTGCCCCGAGGGGGGCGAGAAACAGCCCTGCACGGCCCCTCGGTGGGGTCCCCTCAGCTGAAACAGCCCCCTCCGCGGTCCCTCAGGGGGTCCCCTCAGCTGAAGCAGCCCTGGGGGGGGTGGGACCCCCCGCAACCCCTCGAGGGGATCCCCTCACCCTCCACGCAGCCCCTCAGGGGGTCTCCACACCCCCTCACCTCGCCCCCAGCCCCTCGGGCTGGGGGGGGAATCTCCACAACCCCTCACCCTCAGCCCCGGCCCCTCGGGGGGTCTCCACACCCCCTCACCTCAGCCCTAGCCCCTCAGAGGGGGGGGGCGTCTCCACATCCCCTCAGTCCCTCGGGGGGGGGGGGGCCCCCCAGCCCCCCCCCCACCCCC